CACACACCAGGCAGCAAGGGTAACAGCGGGTAAGGTTCACTGGGTGTTAAAAGCGTCGGTTCAAAGAAGGCGGGGGTACAGGACGTACGTGGTCAGCCAAGAGCTGGGTGGATGAAGTGTGAGAGTAGTGTGTGGTAAGGGCAGATGAAAGCGTAGATGTAAGAGCACTATTTTAAGGTTACTTGATGTTATGTTGACTCAGGATAGATTAAGTTGTGGATTGAAAAGAGAAAGCGTTAGCTGGTATAGTGAAAACGGCACGCCGTGGAAGTGACGTGGGATGGGGAGACGTAGAGAAGCGCTTTGGGAGGGGGAGGAGGTCGCCAGAGACTACAACAGTGACTAACAGGTAGCCCTGTATCACAGGAGTTGATGCAAAAACTAGGTGGAGGCATTGACGCTTGGTTGTAGAGGAGATTGGGTAGCGGAAAGAGGGAATCGTCGGTGCCGAGGTGATCTCTGCGTTGGTGTCGGAGTGGTGAGTGAGTGTGGCATCGTCTTTGCTAAGGTGGGGGCCGTCAGAGGCGCGGATGGAGATGCGAGGGAGATCCCAATGATGACTCGCTTATTTGGGTAGATGGGGGTTGTGTGTGTGGAGGAGTGACGGGCATAGCCAAAACCGAAGGCTGCGCATCACTCTGGGGCGTGACGCATGTAGCAGCGAAAAAAATTGTTTTGTAGAGAGCAGAGCAGACACCATTGATGTCGAGACCTATGGAGGGGGTTGAACGGAGCTTCGGAGCCGCGGGTGGTGGTTTGTTTCTCGGGGGGTGGTCTTCAGTGCAGGAGTTGAAGCACCGTCTTTTTGATCAGATTGGGACAGCTACGTGAGGACGATCTCCCGTAGAAAGACTCAGATGTAGAAAGTCACGGCGTAGTTGTGAGTGTCGTGTGTTATGCGTGTCCCGATCGCGGAGGGTTCGGAGTCGCTCGGCGGGGGGGGAGTGGGATGGGGATGAAGTAGTACGCGGTAGGGGTATAATCTGTGGGGAACCTCAGCTTTAATCGGATAGCCGTTGTAGTGTGGCAGCTGGAAAATAAGTGAATAGAGGGTATCGTTTGATCTTGGAGTTCGTGTGCCAAGGGGGGGTAGCGCAAAGTGCGTTTTCGCTCGAGGGTCATTTAGAGTGCTGTCTTTATGGACGTTGTGTTTTGGTGTTTTTGGTAAATTGTTTTGTATGGTTCAGTTAGGTGTGTGTGTGNGAATTAAACAAATAAATAAAAACAAGGATAATTGTGTGTTATTGTTGAGTAAATAACAGTGTGTTATTTAGAAAAGAATAACAAATTAGAAGGAAAAATAGATTTAAAAAATAAAGATTTCAGTATTCTGAGGCTCTGAGCCCCGTTTCTTTTCCTTGCGGACGGCAAAAAAAGTCTGACATTAATACAATTTAGGTTCTTGTGTCTGATTGGCTGGGCGGAATGCAAACCACGCCCCGTCAAACTCCCAAAAACGTTTGTGAAGCCGCCATTTTATTATCGTTATTAGCATTAGCCCAGCGCAGAAACGCAGAGAGACTAACTTATGTCAACACAAGATAAAACATGGGAGCGGTGGAGATGAGGAGGTGTCGGCATTCTGGCCGTTTACTCGGAAGGGGAGTCCCAGCAGCTTCTACTGAAGCCAGTCCCTAACTCCGGGGACTTCCGGCCGGGGATTTTGGGCGGCAGTATACGCCGTGAAGTTGTTTGCGGCCTGCCAGTAAACCCAAAGCAGAAGAAGGAGAAGTGACGTCAGCGGCTTCATTTGCCTAATCCACCCCCAGGAACTAATATCCGGTGTGAACGCGATCTGTACTTAGTTCATGAGAACTAAAGAGTTCTCAGGAACCTTTGTGGGAAAAGTACTTGGTGTGAACGCGCTTATTGAGAGAACCTGCAAGATCTCTATCTGTAAATAGATTACATTACATGTCATTTGTTAAGACAC